AGAAGACCTGGGAGTCTTCACATAACTGACTTCCTGAACCCTGAACTTGCTGTGCGGCTTTGAGAGCTGCACTCTGCACCTGGGGTTTTTATACCTATAAGAGGTGCCAGCTACTCCATGCCTCCCAGAATCAAAGAGGGGAGAGTGGGGTAAGGTACCTGGGGCTCCCTACAGGGACCCTGCTCAGCTTCCTAAGGCTGCCCAGCAGGACTAGGGCTCAAGCTGCAGCCCAAACACCACCGAGGCTGAACCTGGGCTCAGGGATCATGCTCAGAAGGGCGGAGGGCCCAGCACGGCCCTCGAAAGCCCTCTCCCTCCCCCTCACAGTTTCCCTGGAGGATCCCAACCCCCATGGCTTGACTTGGACCCTGGCTGCACCCCCGCACTCTCTATGCAGGTCAGCGCAGCGGCAGTGAAGGGCGAGTCGGCACGGGGACGAGGGTCTGGGGAGTCAAGCGCAGACACTGTCCTTTTCCAAGAGGYGAGGACCCTTGGGACTGGATCAGGGATCAGAAGGAGAAAGGCGCCATTATGGCTGGATCGGTCGGGGTCAGCGACTGCACCCCTGTAGACGCGAGCGCTCTCCCATGTGCGGTAGCGGCTGCGACGTTGTGCGCTGGGGGCCAAGGAGCCTTGGCAACCACCCGAAGGGTCCCGAGTCCCTTAGCCCGAGCCCGACTCCCGCCCGATGCACGCCTACTGGCCCTCGGGCCAGGTAGCCTACTCTGACCCAAGCCGAGCGCTGCACTGCGGGGAGGCCCGGCAGGCTCCCTCCTCAGGAAGTTTCTTTCCCGCACAGGGAARGCGCCCTGGCCGCTCCTTGTCCTCCGGCGCCCGCTACGTGAGCTGCAGCTTCCAACACTTGATACACGGGTTTGATTCAAAATCTGATAAATTGTATTTAAGGCTATTTGAAAATTTTAAACGAAATTATTCAAAAGATTTTTAATCCTGGATAATTTTTGTTGAAACTCTAATTATACATCACCTTAATTACCAGTACAGCCCCCCAAGGATCCCTAATTGCCTCCTAATTGAATAAAACAGGGGGCTAATCGAGCCCACCACGGCCCAGCAAGCTGTAGCTGGCTGTGCCTCCCTCAAGGGGCCATGGGGGTGCCCCAGCGGGCCCCTACCCAGGCAGGGGACCTTGTCCCCTGCCCCCAGCGCTGCCTAGAAGGGATTTGGAGTTGCWGGAGCCTGGGGTGGGAGGGGCTAAGCAGTCCTGCTGCACCTGCTCCTGCACAGGCCCCGTGGAGCAGGGCAGCCTAGGTGGGACCCCACCCCTCCAGTCCGTCCACAGCAGCCCCCTCCCTTCACCCTCTGCACCAGCACACCCTACAGTGGCAGAGGAGGGCTGGTGGGCACATGGCAGTGACCCAGGGCACCAGGTCCTTGGCCCGCAGCCCTACACCCCGCCCCTCTGAGTTTTCGCCCAAAGCGGGGCAAGAGGCTAGACTCCTGGCGGAGAGTTCCTGGTGCTGCCGCCTTAACCACTGTCCCAGGAAAGGGTTGCCATGTGGGCTCTGGGGACAACAGCCAGAGAGGGTCAGACTTCCCTAGGGAGGGTGGGGGAAGGGCAGGGGCCGTTAGTCGGAGCCCCCAGGGTTTCAGTGAGAAGAAGGAACCAGGCTGAGAGCTGGGCCTCCAGGTCTGCTCACCCCCACCCTGTCTCTCACACACCTCTGCACACACATTACCTCAAACATGCAGTGCACACACACACACACACACACACACACACACACAGAGTTCCTCAGCTAGCAGGGTAGCAGCTCCTACCCAGGGGCTAGATGCTGGTCGAGAGGATACTCCTAGCCCTGGGATACAGGGTTTCTAGGACCATGGGGGTGTTCACCTGCATGGGGATCAGGCCTCAAAAGGCAGCCTGGTGGGGGTCCTGGCTGCAGAGTCTCTCAGGACACATCTCTCCTGGAAAAAGGTCACAAGTCTGTGCTGAAGGTGGAGGTCAAGAGGGCATCTTGGCTGTGYTAACCCCCACCTTCCCACCTGGCTCTCTCTCGGCAGTGGCAGAAACAATAAGCTATTGTTAGAAATTTAGTTTTTAAATGTGGGGCCAGAACAGCCCCCCAATCCCCGCTGGCCGACACTGGGCCAGCTTAAGTAAGGGGACCCCGGCCCTGAACCATCTTCACTCTACCCCTGGTCCTCAGACTCAGATTTCTCCTCAGCCATGACCCAGTGCCCCACCAGCCTCTGCCTGAGCGGTTAGAACCAAGACCCCACTGCAGGACCCAAACTGCTATCAACCAAGCTTCCTAGAAGCCCAGCCACAGCAAACCCTGGCCTGGGGCCTGGAGGAGGGTCATAGGGAAACCCAAACGAAATTACAGCCCCAGATGTACCCTCRGGGGTGGCTCCTCCAAGCTCTGGGTCACAAGGTCACATCTACCAGCTTGGCTGTTCCTTCTGTCCCCTGTGCGTTTCAGGCACAGCCCATGTCCCAAGTGCAAGGGCATTGTGAGCCCGAATAACCATGACCCTGCTCCCTCCCCAGCACCTGATGCCAGTCGGGATGTGGCCGGGAGAAGGATGCTCTGTTATCAGCAGAGTGATGGTCAGGCTGCTCAGATTCAGGTAATGGAGTCCGGTCCCAGGGGACTTTCACATCTGCTTAAAATGTTGTCCARTAAAATGAAATTCCTCAGCAGATCCTGAGCAGCTAGGGGCGGGCAGGGCTTTCCTGAACCTGCCTCGGCCACCTTTTGGGGAAGGATGGGGCAGTGATTCCAGCAGTGGAGCCAGGAGGAGTCCCACAACGGGTTCCAGCTGGGCTCCTCGGGACCTGGCAATCAGCTCACCTGTGCTGACTCTCACTCTGGGTGCCCCAGTAGAGAAGCAGCCTCCATGCTGGGCTGCCATCAGATAACTTCTCTGATTCTCTGGCCTCCCCGCCAGGCCGCAGATAGCTGCCAGGCGCCCTATCTGGGTCCTGAGCAGAACCGGGGTCCAGGCAAGCTTACCCACCTGGCTGGGGTGGAGCCGACTGAGGGCTGAGGCCAGGCAGGCCCCTGGCCTGGTGTGGGCCTCTGGGAAGTTTCCCGGGGCAGCGCAGGGGTGCGCTAAACCAGCCTCTCGCTTCCAGCGAAGGCCAGGCCAGCCCAGCGGCTTTACTCTTTCTTGCTCCTGCTTTGGGCCCTTCCTCTGTGAGGGCCTGACCAGCGCGGTCTGCAGCCAGGGTCCAGACTTGCAGAAAGCCCGCTGGGATACACAGACCCAAACGGGTACACAACACACACGCTCCACACGCCGAAGACAGGCACGCAGCGCGCACACAGCTCCTTCATGTCCGCTGTAAAACGTCTGTCTGGCCTTGTTCGCACCAAGAGGGGTCAGAGGTCATGGAAGGCCCGGCAGGCCGAGGCCAAGGGCAGCCCGCAGAAGAGCCCAGGGGGAAGGGGACGCCTCAGGAGGAGCCACGATCGACCCACAGCGGAGCCCGGGGAGCTGCTTTTCCCTGAAGGCTGGGTGCGCGGCCTACGGCTGCGGGGCCGCTGTGGGGCCGAGCTCGGTCGGGTCCCGAGCCGCAARAACAGAGCTTTTCCTGAAAACTGCTGCGGGTCCCCTGCCCACTGGGCTCACGCTTGAGGGCTTGGCCCTGGGTGCTGCGAAGCCGGCCGGCAGGATAGGGCCCGGGAGACACGGACGGACGGAGCAGCCTGGTGATCGAGCGGGAATCTCGAGCCGAGCGGGCTGGGGCGTCCCTTCTGCGAGTCGGCGGCCAGCGGAGGAGGGGGCGGCACGAGCAGGCGGCGCGGGGTTCTGCTCCGCGCGGCGCTCGCCGCTTCGCTGTAGCCGGGCCGCGGCCGGCTGCGGGAGCTGCGCTGGCCGGGCCGCGGCGCCGCCGGTCCCCACCTGCCCGCTGCGGAGCCGCGAGGGCCGCAGCCCCTGGCCCGCTGGCCTGTCGGGGGATGGCGCCGGCGGCCGAGCGCGGAGGGCGCATGGGCTACTCGGAGGCGCGGCGGGAGCGGCGCGGGCGGCGGGAGCACACGCCCGCGGCCAGGACTGGCCGACCGCAGGCTGCGCGCAGAACCCCGGCCTCGGCCCGAGGCGGAGCGAAAGAGAAAGTAAGACCCGGGACCCGGCAGCCTTGCCGGGGCAGTTCCATCCCCTAGGGCCGCGCGGCTGTGCCAGGCGAATGAGTGCTGGAGGGTCCGCGAGACAGAGGGCGGTCGCGGCGAGTCGGAAGGCGGCCGGTGGGGACTCTGCTGCCTGAGGCACCGGCACCGCGGCGGCCCGCGCGGGCTGCCCAAGTCACAGCGGAGCGCCCGCCACCACGCGGGGCACCACTTGGGAATAAACTTCACGACCACGGTCCCAAGCTCAAAGAAAGTCTCCATTTTGCTCCCCAAGTGGCTGCGGCCGTCTTGCCTTCGCCACCCCTGCTCTTACGCCCGGAGAGCCGGGTGGGCGCCGGCCCGCGCCCCCTCCTCCGCCCCCTCCCCGGCTCGGGGTCTCCCTCCTCTGCGCCCGGCTGGCGGACGCCAAAGGCGGTGCTCTAGCGCCCACTATTTCAAAAGCCCGGAATATGATTTGACCAGGACTGAGAGCCACTCGGAGAGAGAGAGGGAGAGCGCGAGCGAGGAGGAAAAGTTGCTCTCCCCTTTCGTCAACTTTTCGCTAACTTTCGCTTTTCTCTCCCCTCCACCCCTGGCCCTCCCCCTCCGCCCCCCTCCCCGGCCCCCACCGCGCGCCTCGGGTTCCCGGGCCCGAGCGCCTGACACTGTGGGGGGGAGGGGGTTCAGCGGGGAGGGGGCCGGCGCCATCGGGGAGCGCGCGGCCCGGGCGCCCCGAGCCTCCGCGCCGAGCCCGGCCGCCCCGGAGCGCGGGAGGCGGAGCAGCCCCCGGGCCGCGCGGCCGAGCCGGGGGCCGGAGCGGCAGGCGCGCCGACCGCGCCCCGACGCGCACCCCTGGCCTGGGCACCCGGGCCCCGCGGCCCGGGCCCGGCAGCGCGGCGCGGCCGAGCGCGGGAGACTTACTTTTGGCTAGCTTCCTCGCCCTCGCCTTGGATCGCATGGTGTCGGCTCGCGGAATCTCTCTCCTCCTCCTTGAGCCCAGAAGCAGCTACACACTATCTTCATCTCCCCAGCATTGTCAGTTTGGACACCTTCGCACATGCGCACAGAGCACTCAATCTGACACCCCTCGCCGGGGCCAAAAAAACTTTGCAATGTATTCATCATCCTCATCGTCGCGCCGCCGCCGCCGCCGCCGCCGCCTCGGCGCGGGATTGGGGGGCTCTCCTCGGCCTTCTCGGTCTTCACCTCACTTCTCTCTGCCCCCTCCCCCCCCTTTTCAGCGCAGCTTGGAACTGGCCCTTTAAGAAAACATTCCGTGATCTGCGCTCCCGCCCGGGGCCCGCACCCCGGACACTTTAAAAGGACCCAGGTGGCCCTGGAGGCGAGGTGACCGTCCCCCCGCCCTGCCCCTGCGTCGCGTCGCGCTGCAGCTCCCGCCCCAGCCGGGCCAAAGATGGGGTGGCGGCTGCGGTTTTTCGCGCGACTTCCTTAGATCTTGGGGCAAACGCGCAGATAGTTCGGACGCGGGTCCGGGCTGATTTCGCTTCGTTTTATTGCATTTTATTACTAATTAAAAAGCTTTCGTTCTCCGTCGCCCCAGCCCGCTCTTCTCCCGAACTCTCCCCTCGGCCCCCGCCTCCGCCCCGCGATTGCTCCGGGGATGCCGGCGCCCGCGCGCCAGAACCCGGCTCCTCCGAAGCCCCCTCCGAGCCCCGCCGCCGCCCTCGGGCCTCCCGGGCCCCCGCCTCCTCCCCTTCGCCCCCACCCAGCGGCGGCGGCTTCGGGCTTCTCGGCTCAAAAACAACAGCCGAGGCGCCGCCAGCTCCGCGCTCCGCCACTGCCCCGGCCGGCGGGCTGCACTCGGACCCGCCGTCCTCCGTAGGGCGCCCAGCGACGGAGCGCAGCGCACTCTGCGTTGGGGGCGGCTTGGGGGCCGCAGTCCGAACACCGGGCGTCCTCTGCCCCGCGTCACCCTGGCGTCCGGCACCTCTCCGCCTCGGGGGCGTATCCGCGCGCTCTGGCCTCGGCGCCCCTGCTCKACTGCCGCCGTGGGCCCCCAGGTGAGTACCCGGGTGCGCGAGCCCCAGGGCTGGGACATTTTCGGGAGCCGGGGGGAGGGGGGGCCTCTGCGGACCCGCTGGCCTCTCGGGGACCCAGATGCGTCCAGGCTGGAGGGCCAGCGGTGCAGGTGGAGGAGCGCGGGCGGGAGCCGACCAGGCGCTTCTTCTGCCCCTGCAATCCTCAAATTGAGGCGCGGCAGCCTAGAGGTCTGCCTGGGCACCCGCAGGGTGATCCCAGCCCAGGGGCCTGATGAAGTGAGTGCGGATTCCTCATTCAAGTATGGCTTGGGTTCGAGAAACGATGGAAAGCCGACAGAGGCGCTACCCTGACTGGTTCGCTGCCCCTTTCGTCCTTCCAGAGTATCAAGGTTCCGCCAGGCAGGAAGACTTGGAGCTGTCACTGCGTCACCCGAGCCCGGGGCAGGGGTCGTGCCCGCGGGTCCAGGTCTCTCTGCTGCCCAGGGTGGGGCTCCTGTCCATGCCCACCCACTCTTTGTTGTGCAATGAAACCAGTATCCGTTGCACTGAGACCTACAGACGGAAACCTGCGTCTTTGCCCTTTGCGTTAAATTGGCCGCGGCTGGAGAGCTACGCCGAGGGCTCAGGCCCCAGCAGAGACCGGAGACGTGGGGCCTAGGGTCGCAGGGCCCATGCCACCCCAGAGGAAAAGCCCCTGCGGACCCAGACTAGATGGTGTGCTGGGCCTTCCGCCTTCTAGTCTCAGAAGTCGACAGCCTCTCTCCTGCTGGGCTTCCTGCCCCTGGGAGATTTCCAGGCGGCTGCCCAGTCCTGCACCCCACTCGCTGCCCCGCATGGGCAAGTGCTCACTGGCCACTGCCCCCAGGCTCTTTCTGGCCCTAGGTGAGTGTGTCYAGGAAGCCCTTTCGGTGAGGTTCTGCAGAGGGTCTATCAGACCATTACTCACCCTCCCCACACTGACTGCCCGTCCCCTGAGCTGGGACACAGGAGTATCTGGCTTCCAGGGACATGCTCTGTAGGTCTTGGTGGGGAGTTCCCATGGCAGGCTAGGGCACTGTTTTAGGCCTGACCGGTCCTGGCAGCCTGTGAACCTGCTCACTCCCATGGGAATGGGGGTACTGTGCTGCCTAACCTTGGCCCAAGGGCAGGCTCCAGACTCAGAACCTAACCTGGCTGGGGCTGCTAGCCAGACAACTCAAGGTCACCCCTTTACTGCAGCAACCCAGGTGTCCCTTGCTCCTGCCTGTAGCCGCCCAGGATGTTTGGCATGCAGCCTGGGGAGCTACAATGGAACCTGTGAAGTACACTTACCTGGAGAGGGTACCTGCCCTTCCCCCATCCCCACCAAGGGCTGCCTCCTCCCTGCCCTGGAGGCAGCCAGCAGGCCCCAAGGTTAGGAAGGCCCAGCCTTTTTCTGGGGTGCAGCAGCTCACCAGAGCACTCCTCCTTCCTCCTCCTTCAGCTCAGCAAGGGTCTGTCTGAACTCTAGCGAGGCTGACCTAGGACAGCCATCTCTTGGGCAACCCTTGCTGGCAGGAGGTGTGGGGAGTAGGCAAGGTTGCCTCTTTTCTCTGTCCTCTTTCAGGGTTCTTGGTGGGTGGGGGAGAGGGACACCATGGGCTTGCCTGGGGATCTGTGGACCAAGGCTGACCAGTGAGATGGCGGAGCTGCTGGGTCTCTCCAGGTGCTGAGGACTAGTGTCTCCCCAGTATGCTAGAGGGGCCCAGGCAGGCTATCCCCAAGGCCACGGCCCTGGCTGGGGTTGGGTCCTGGCCTGGCCAGGCCCTGCCCCCACGTGGCCAGACTTAGAAGCTGAAGGCAGGGTAGGGCAGGCATTGAGAAAGGGTGAAGCAGGGAAAGTCAGATGTAGCTCCACCCCAGGCCGGGAGGCCCCAAGGCCTTCTGTATCCCAGCCTGGCAAAGACTTTTGGGGGACTTACCAGGCTTTATGGGCAAGTGGGGGCCCCACTTGTGGAGGGAAGGTTGCTATTGAAAGGTTTAAAAGCAATTTTCAATCTGAGCCAAGCTCTAGGGAGCTTGGGAGCTGAATCTTGACCTCAAGGTCCTCACATTGGGGAGCAGCAAGGTGTGGCTGGCTGAATGGCAGCTCCCCACCCTAGAGAACCTCAGGCTGCTATCAAGCTCTGGAACCCATGTTATTGCTGGGTCTGGGGGGCTAGAGAGGGGAGGAGGGCAGCAACTTCTACTGCGCTCGCTTGGGGCAGGGAAGGAGTTCATGGACTCCCAGCCTTTCAGCAAGCTGAGAGATACAGCTGGAGACATCAGATCATCTCCTCTGGGAAGTGGTGTGGATTGGGGGGAGTAAGAAAAGCTGGTTCTGTAGTGCTGGAGTGAGCATCGGAGAAGACAGCTGGCGGGGAGGAGCCCCAGCCCCATGGGTTCCCCAGGAAGCTCTGCACTCCTGGTGGTCCCACACACACTTTCTGGGCTTGTGCCCCCTGTCTCAGGGAGAAGCCAGGTCTCTGGGGAGGAGGCTAGTTGTTGCAGTGCATGGAGGTCGGGGGTCCAACCTGGCCCAGTTGCCCCTGCCAGGGCCCAGAGAGCCCTATTGTATCCYGTGTGCTAGAGATGGAAAGGGCTGCCTGGCCAGATGTGTTGACCTTGCCAGGTTCTTGCCCCGTCCCTCCCTGTTCCTTTGTGCTTGCCAAATTTGGCCAGTGCCTTTGGGCACTCAGCCTCTGRGCTCTGTGGAATTCCAAGTTTTGCTCACCCTCAGGTTCCTGTCTGGGTAGGAAAGAAAATACACATGGGCTTTCCCGGAAGTCTGGAACTGTGGAACTGCCCAGGAGCACTCTCCACTGGACTGAGACTCACAGACCTGACCCCCCCCAACAGGTGGACCACTGAGTAGGTGAGGTTAGGTCTCTCTAGGTATGTCCTCCTCTGCTCCACCCTTGGTGGAAATGTGTCTCAGATTTAATCAACAGCCGTATGGAGGCCACGAGGGGCCCTTGGGGATGATCCAACTCACTTCCCACGACACAGAAAGGGAAATGCAGGTGGTCTGCTGGGACCAGCCCCAGCAGGGGACTCAGGGGACCTGGGGCAGGAGGCTGGCCGGCCTGGGAGTTCAGTTAACACAACTGAGGTGAAGAGGAGGTCTGAAGGGCTCTTCCCCCCACCCAGCCATTCCTCAGCTCCACTCTGGGGTCACAGGAGCTCCTGACACTGAGTCTCCTGTCTCAGGCCCCCTTTACTCCTCTTGCCTCACCACGGGACTTTGCTGTGCCATGAATGATTCTGAGGACTGACACAATTCCAAATTTCTGACCCAGGCTTTCCCCTCTGATCCACAGAGTCAAGGGTCCCGGCACCAATGCCCTGTCCCAGAGTGTGGCCAGGAGAGTCCACTGCTCCCCAAGATTTCCCAGGAATGTGAGAATAGCTGATTTTGAACACACCGCAGTGCTCCTCGGAGCACAGAAGAATGGTTGTCCCCGCAATGGGCAGCCACCGGGGAGGGCCTTGCTGGGCCATCGGCAGGCCCCAGGCTCCTGCACTGTAGCTGCCTGGTGGCTTGGCATTCTTGTGTCCTCTGGTCCTTGCAGGTGATTGGCTTTCCAGAATGTAGACGTGGGGGTGTGCCACCTATGTTGGCCCTTGCCACCGGTGCACTTCTAGGGCCCGACAGGGAGTGCTTTTGTTTTAAGGGTAAGATCGAAACTGGGTCGGAAGTCCCGGTCCTCTCCCGGTTGGAGCCCAGGAGGGGTTTGGCTCCTACACCCCTCCCAAAGYGACCCTCCAGAAGGCACTGGAAGTCCCCCACATCTCCTGTAGACTGAGCTCAGTAGAATGGGCCGCAGGGCGGAGAAGCACTGGGGCTCCGCAACCGCTGCGGGGAGCAATAAACGGAATTTGTTTCCCAAGATTTTTCTTTCGATCCCAGAAATGTTAAAAATCCGTCAACGAATCCTCCTGTCAAGTTTGCGCTGCCTGTGCACTTGAGCCACGCAGCCATAGTGCAGAGGGTCCCCTCCCGCCGCCCTCACCCCGGGAGCCTCCAGCCCGCGCTGGCCGGG